ATTGATCCTATCACTCCATCTACACTCTAAGATGCATTTAACTGGACCTGAACCCAATTTTAGTGCAAACCTTCCTCATCAATAGTGAATCAATGAAATGGAAAGACTATGAGAGATGCATATATTTTCATCTCAAAGATCTGGGCTGCAAAAATCTAAACCAGGGGTGTCAAACTCGAATCGTCACATGATGTATCGTGACTTTTTTCCCCTTCACTAAACCAGACATGGGCGTGGCCAGCACGTGACACATTCAGGTCATGAGTTTGAAAGCCCTGATCTAAACCATCACTGGATGACTGCAAAGAGTCATCTCTTTGATGGGTTTTTTGTTTTTTGTTTTTTTTTTTTTTGCAGAAAGCACTAACTCTTTACAGCCATAGAGCAGTGATCAGGTTCTCCTTTCAAAGTTTATTATGCAAAGAGGTCACCGGAAAATTCCCCAAGCTGAAATTCAGCACTGATGCTTTTAAAAGGTTTCTATCCACTCTGACATCATATTTTTGTCCTGGACAAAAAGCCCTGACATACTTATCCCAATCATTTGCATCAAATTCAATTTGGTACCAAACACAAACCTTTCTTTAAGCACCTAAAAGTTCACTGAGCACAATACAGGTATTAGAAAATAAGACTTTGTTATTTCGCATATGTACACCTGTCATTTTTCTTTCAGTGCCAAAGAAGTCTTAGCCTCTGCTACGGTATTTCCTGTAACAAGGAGTCAAAAGTATCTGTTATGTAGTTAGGGAAGTCCCCAATATAAAAGGGTAAAATCCTAAAATATTTTTGGCTTCCATTATCAGGTTCTTTGGTTGCAACTGTCTGAGACTTCTGTCCTTATGCCCACAAGATTTGATATTTTTAGGGTATGCCATTGATTTTTAACAGCTTTTTTGCACTCTTCATTATTGCCTAATATGAAGTGCTTTGGTACCTTACAGATTTCCACATTATAATTTAATTACCAGTCCCTTTTTGTTTCCAAGTACTAACACCTTTCTGTTACAACAATTGTGTATGTTACCAATGCTTCAAATCACAACATTTTACCACTAGGAAAATTAAATTAAAACACAATTATTAGCACTACATATCACTCTTTCCTCACTATACCCCACCTGAATCATGCAATGCTATATTAGTTTTATTGTTTTCTAGAACATAATACCTTTGTTTGCTGTACTAAAACTATTTTAAAACAATTATCCATCTTTGTTCATAAACAAACAAAAGGATTAGATCTATGCAAACCTTAATCAACATGAAACAATAGCAGCAGCAGCAACAATATAATTCTCATCCCCAACTACTTAGTAGGGTGCAGTGATTAGTCAGTGTGTGGAGTTTTAATGTGGGAAACCCCTGTTTGAGTAGTCACTCAACCATGAAAGTCGCTTGATGGTGTCAAAAAGCTACAATGCATCACATAATTGCTACAATGGGAGCAGATCATCATTCTTCTGAACTTCCACAGTCTATTCAGTCTCCAATAAAACAAATAAAAATTTGGTATATTGCAGCTTAATGCAGAATCAATGCAAAACCACATTGATAGTACAAAAACCACAGTAAATTAAGATGTCAGTAAAGAATAAAAAGTAACTAAGAATAAAGGAATCTATGGAGGCCTTGGTGTTCTCTGGGCTTGGTTGTTTGATTGCAGACATTTCATCATCTAACTAGATAACATCATTCAGTGCTGATGATGTTACCGAGTCAGGTAATGAAATGACTGCAAGAAGATGACCAAGCACAGAGTACCAAGGCCTCCATAGTTCAACTCTGAGCTACATATATTGTTTTCTACAGTATTGATAGCACAGGAATCTGTCACAGGCTACATCTACCTTCTGATTTTGTCAACAATAGCATTCCTTCTTAAACAGGCATAACACACACATGTAACAAAGTATTAGGCGAAACTTTTTTGACCCTCAGTTGCAAACCTAAGGTTACTTGATTAGGGAAAAGAGTTCATTTCTTTGCAAATCCCTTTATACTCCCATTAGAGGTATTAAGAGATTTCCTTCCGTACACCATATTTTTTTCTTAAGCTTTAATTTCTCAATATGACATCATTATTTTCTCATACACAAACACACAAAAGAGAGACAGCAAAAAACATTCAGTGAACAGGAAGCTGAATCTTGGGGGAAACAAATGGTAGCTGGCTATGGATAAATAGAAATCTAGGAAATAATCAACTGTCATCAGGGGCTACTTTCTAAATCCATTTTATGCATCTGTGAAAATTGGCTGTTTCTTGAAAAGCCCATTCCATAACAAGCTAGTTCATCTATAAAGTACTCCTTCACATCTTAAAAGGCTTTCTGTGCAGCCACCAGATGTTTGGAACTGAACTTTTAAAGAGGAAGTTACAATCTTTCCCCAAATTATAGCCCCTGCAATTTTACCACCTTCCAAACTAGGATGGGAACTCCTGGGAACCACGTGGGACAGATAGTGCTCTTAGATGAAAATGGTACAAATAACACCATGTCAGCAGTTCTGGGGTTTGAATTACCCTATTTTCCTCAGCCTCATGCATTCATTCATTCTCATGTTTGCCAAATCAATACATGTTGTGATGTACCACAGGAGGGGAAAAGGTAATATACCTCTCAAAGTGAAGGAATGGGGGTAAAGCAGATGATAGGGAAAGTATGAGAAAGAGGGTCAAAATAACTTTTAAAAATTGGTATAGTTCCTGAGATGAGTAAACAAGGCTGCTGCAAAATGCACATCTATCCATAAAATACCATACTGTACACATTTTCAATATTATAGGCATAGGGCTTGAGGCTGCACTTTTATTCACCATGTGGGGTTCCCTAAATTTGTCACCTCTGTTGCAGGGAGAAGGTGTCTGGATGTTATGAGAGTTCCAGACATATCCAAAGATTACAACTTTGGGGAAATTTGCAGAATTTGACTCAGCAGAGTTTAGCTGTTGGGGTTACATTGCAAGATGCCAATTCTGTAGGAGCAATAAAAAGGTAAAAGATAAAGGTTCCCCTTGCACATAAGAGCTAGTTGTTCCCAACTCTAGGGGGCGGTGCTCATATCCGTTTCAAAAGCTGAAGAGCCAGCGCTGTCCAAAGATGTCTCTGTGGTCATGTGGCCCGCATGACTAAACGCTAAAGGCGTACGGAACGCTGTTACCTTCCCACCAAAGGTGGTCCCTATTTTTTACCTGCTTTTGAACTGCTAGGTTGGCAGAAGCTGGGACAAGTAATGGGAGCTCACCCCATTACATGGCACTAGGGATTTGAACTGCTGAACTGCTGACCTTCTGATCGACAAGCTCAGTATCTTGGCCACTGAGTGTCCCCTTGTAGAAGCAATACCTCTGCATATTTTTGGGAAATCACATTTTTTTAAAAAAAAAATCGGATTTATGGAATCCTTGTATTTCAGCCCAGGAGTCTTTTTTTTTCCTGGACTGGCAACCGGATTCCATCTGTAAGGTCAGAGCCGGCATTCCACATATTCCAGGTCGTACCGGTTTGCGAGCATCGGATTACTTTGCTGAGCACAGGCTGCCAAGCGTGCCGGCTTGTTTTGCTTTCTGGCTTGCAAAGTGGAAACTTTTATTTCCCCAGCGGGTATAATGCAGGGTCGAGGGATTATTTTGACAGCTGCCAGTGCGCCCCTATCTCTCGTTTTCTTTCCAGCCCCTCCTACCAAACTCTCATTCTTGGACACAGGAGAAAGGAGGGGAGGGAGAAGGAGAGAGAGAGAGAAGAGAAGAAGGCGGAGCAGTAAACTTTTTTTTTTTCGCGCGTGGCAATCAAACTCTGCCGAGAGTCAACAAATCCAACGAGCCACTATGGAAAGTGTAGGGCGACCGAGGGAGGAAATCAGGGGATTCGGTTGGAAGGAACAAACAAAAGACGCATTACAACTTTATTACATTATATTCTAGTTCGGGGACGGTGTAGTCCAAAGGAATTGGCGTTTTATTCACTAAAACGAATCCCAAACCTTCGCGAAGCGGTGGCTTTCCCCCAGCCTCTATCTCCGGGAGACTTTTCCCAAACGAGGCGAGCAAGCGTGGGCCGCGGGGGCTGGGAATGGCAGAAGAGGGAAGAGTAGCTACCTAGCTGGGTGAAGGCCAGATGCTCTCTCTCTTCTGTACAATCGGAGAGTCTAAAATTCAAGCCGGGGACCGAGGCGCCTTACCTTTTGATCGACGATGGAACAAGCCATTTCCCGGACATGGGTCAGGCTAAACTCCCCCGAGGAGTCTTGCAGCAGGAGCACCGGCTCCCGGCTGAGGCCGATCTGAAGGTGGAAGGAGATGCCGCCGCCGCCGCCGCCTCCTCCGGGTTGCGAAGGACTGGGCGGCCGGATGACCGGCGGAGCACTCATCGACAACTTCCCGCAGCGCGAAAGATGTGGCGGAAAGAAAGAGAGAGAGAGAGAACCGCGGCTTACTAAGAGTTTGCCAGTGCCGTCGATAAAATGGGGAGGGGGGGAGCTTTCGCAAACTTCCTTAAGCCGCTAGCGCCTGGCACAAGGAGGAGAGCGACGAAGGACGCCCGAGCGGAGCTCAAGCCACCCTTGGAGAAGAGGCGAGCCTCGAAGTGGGGGAAGCGCCTCTCTTGCTGCTGCTGCCGCCGCCGCCTTGTCTCCCAGCGCTCACTGGAGGAGGAGGAGGCGGCGGCGGCGGCCACTGGGCGGTCAAGCGCTCTTTGAGAGAAAGAGGAAGGGCGGGAAAACAGGCTTAGGCGCCTGAGCCACCACCCGGCGGCCTTAAGCAGCAACAGCCGCTCTGAGGCGCCCGAGTGGCGGGGCAGTGACCCAAACCCAAAGAGACGGACCTCCCCTTCAGGTAGCGCCGAACAATTCCCTTGGACGCGCCTTTCCCTCGGCGCTCACCCTTCTCCCACCCACCCCCCGCGCTCCGGCTGCGCTCCGAGTTGACGTCCGAGCTCGCCCCGACGCTTTTAAGGCGTCGATCTGCTTTGTTCCGTGACAAGCGCTCCAGGAACGCGACCTTGGCCTAACTGTGGGTCTCAGGGCCGGTTGCCGTCGTCTGTATCCTGGTGAGGCTCTTGTGCGCTGAATAGCTGATCGGCAGGTGAAGTTTTAGTCCCTCTCTGGCTAGAGAGAAAGAGTCACCTGGGTACCTCTGCTTATTTCACAGATGTGAAAAATAACACAAGCCTGATTTGGAAAAAGCAAGTTGGCAACCCTTGCTTCCAACTTTTAACAAAGTTAAACTCCCCTAACTCCTAGGCCAGACACCTCTATGCCCTGCCCTGCCTGACCTAGCTCTTTTCTTTCTATCTATCTATCTATCTATCTATCTATCTATCTATCTATCTATCTATTTATCTATCACAGCCTTCCTGTTTTCAGAAAACTCCAGCATAGGTTTGGTTTTTCAGTAATAAAAACCCATCCATTTTCTCCCCATCCAGGTGCCTTCCAAAGGGGAGGGGAACTACAACTTCCATCATCCCCCAGCCTGCATGGCACATTTGCTGAGGAGGAAGTTGAAAAGGGTTGATCCAGAAAGAGAACGTTACATCCTCCAAGTTCCCTTTGATTCGGTCAGTACCTTCAAAGTTGCCTTCATCCCGGCTGCTAATGGCTCTTCCAGTTGATGCTCTTGTATTAATGAAAGGTAACAACAAACAGCTCTTAACTAGCAGGGAGAGCCAGAAGAAATTCTGAATCCTCCCGCTTTGTGGCTGTTTCTGAGCCGGGTTACAATTTCCGTGTAAGTAAGAGCTTAAACCTGTCAGCTAATTCCTTCGAGTTGTCTCCCATCCAGCAGAACAGCAGTGAGTGGTGCCATTACCCCCACCAAGAGGCAGCCACATGCAGAGAGGAAAGAGAAGTATGCTGTCACTACAGAGTTGAGGCTCTAGGCTGTCCCTTATTTCAGCTGCTGCTGCCGCTCCACCTCCCCCTTGATTTGTGACAGAAGAACAACTAGCAAGAATCCCACCCACCACCTGTCATTTTTCTATTTACCAAACATGAGGTGAGGGAAACATCCTATCTAGTGATTGTCATTTTCTGAGCAGAAGCCCTTAATCTCACCAAGAAGGAGGAGTTTGTCTTTCCATCATTGGAACAAATGTAAGCCTCCCTCTGTATGTGCCCCCGTCTTTCAAACAATAAAGGGAGGATAAAAAACTGTCATTTGTTTAGCACGCTTGCATCCCAGGCTTTCTCTGAAGACTGCTGGAAAGCCTCTTAGGAATTTGTTCTGGGAGAAAAGATTAGGCAATAATTTGAACTAAACAGGTTTTCAAACTTATTTCACCCTGGTCCAAGAAACTATCTGGTCACACTTGGTGCTTGCATTACAAGATGTCAAGCAGTGTCATAGTTATTTGTAAGAAGTATTTTAAGTTATTTATAAGAAGTATTTTAAGAGAAAGTAGAAAAAACAGGATGTGCTTCATCCAGCCCCATCTGACATTTCACACTTCAAATTGCTCCTGCAAATATTAGATTAAAAATGTGGCTTTCTTTTTAGGATACCAACATATTTTCTATAGACTTAAATATCTGGAGGAGTTGTGTACATTTTGGTAGGAAGTTTGTAATTGTAGGCACATTTAATGTTTGCAATACTTTTCAGTGTCTTGTATTTTGTATGTATGTTGTAACGTTTTAGAGTACTTTTATTTTCTTTTTGCCATGAGGCAGAAAGGATCTCTGCATACTTTTAGAGAAAGCATACATAGGAAAACAGTGGCAAGAGTTCCTGCTGAAATATAACCCAATAATTCTAAAGGCAGGACCAAGGCATTCAGACTAAAGATGTAGCATACATTTTCAGACAGTATTTGAGCTGTTGCTATACTTGGCCTGAGACAAGAAAATGCAGCCTCCGTCCTTTACATAAACTTAAAAACCTGAAAAAAATTCTAAGGAAGATCAGACTTATAAGTATTTGAATAGAAAATATCAGAACTGTAGGTTAGATATAGAAGTTGGGAATGGGGCATCTCAGGAATCACAGAAGAATTGAATGACAGACCATTTTTCTCATGCTGTCATTCAAGTGAACACTTAAATAATACACACGAACAATTCAAAAATTAGATTTCTCTGAAATTGTATTCAAAGTATGACATACAAAAGTGATGACACAAATGAGATTGTAGGGACATATAAAGAACTTTTCCATCCCAAATGTGGAATTCTGATCATTGTTCTTTTTTATCTCTCTCCATTGACACAATAATGCTTGGAAAGTTTTCATGGTCATTTACCGGTAAAACGTTTTTACCATTTCTTAAAATCATTTTTTATTTTAACTACAATTACAGGAACAATTGAACTCTAGTGATATTAAAAAGTTACATAGCAAGAATAAATTACAACTTTTCTGAGTTATTGGGCGGGGGGTTGTTTCCCAGTTCTCAATATCTAGTCTTTTCTAGACCACATAGAAGATGGCTATATATATATTATGCAAAAGGTTGAGAAGCACACAATGATACAGTACATCTGTGCACAATTTATTCATAGGATCTTCACAGAATCACAGAGTCAGACAATACCTTAGAGCTGTGATGGCGAACCTATGGCACGCGTGCCTGCAGTGGCACACAGAGCCATCTCTCCTGGCATGCGAGCCATCGCTCATTGCTCTTCCGGGTTCTGACCCGCCGGCCAGCTGGTCTTCACACAGGCAGGAGCACCACAAACTGGAAGAGCAGCCGCTGGTCTTTCGGTTTCTGGTGTGCATGCGTGCACGAAGACCAATTGGCCTGTGCGGATACAAGCACCAGAAACTGGAAGATCATCTTCCCGGTGCGCACATGTGTACGAGGCGGCTGCTCTTCCGGTTTGCGGTGCATACATGCACACCAGTCAGCTGTTTTTTTGCATGTGCATGTGCATCAGGAACTGGAAGACCAGGTGGCTGGTGCACAAGCATGCACCAGAAACTGGAAGAGCAGCCCCCCTACACATGCATGTGCACCGGGCGGCTGCTCTTCTGGTGCATGCACATAAATGCACACACTCCCATTTTGGAACTCAGTGCTGAAAAGGTTCACCAACACTGTCCTAGAGTCATTTATTCTAACCACCTGTTCCGTTCAGGATCCACTAAAGCAACTATGACAGAGGACTTTCCCTCCACTTCTGTTTGAAGAACTCTTGAGCATGATTAGGAAGAAACATCCAAGCCCATATATGGCATCTCTTCTCATCAACTTATATAGGCTTCTGTCAAAGCAAGTCATGTTTTCTTTCAAAAATGAAATGTTTTCCTGTTCTATAAAGAAGGCTTCACACCAAAAGCTGGATCAAAAATATTGGTTGTGTTAGATCACAGTATTTATAGTTGTGCTAATCATGCCACCTAGAAAACTATCTGATTGATAGCTAGTGGTCTTTATCAAAAGATTATTGCCCTCAATACATCACTGTTTAGAATCTAATTTGAAACAATTCTGATATCAGGCAAATGACACCAAACTGTATAAAATGTATACACTTTTCCATTCCACAAGGTCTTGAGTAGTTGATTTCTCTGATCATTATCTATGGTATTTAATATCAATGGATTACTTCAGACATCTTTAGGTGACTTACAGAATGAAAATACACCAAATTGCATATGAAAAAGAAATACAATATTTAATTATCCATATTATCATAGCAGCAAGAATAATCTACGCACAGAATTGGAAAAACAATAATATACCAACCGAAGATAATTGGATCAGAAAAGTTTTGGAATGTGCGGAGATGGACAAATTAACAAAGGAGATACAAGAAAAAGAGGAAACAGAATATTACTTAGTGTGGGAGAAATGGTATGAATGGCTGGAGGCGATAGTTAAAAGGCAAGAAAAAATTAAATAATGGTCGAAATAGGAAACAAAAATTGTAGAAATGAAATTGTGTACACAGGTATTTATATGTATATATGTAAATAAATTAATTAATATTACAAGTATATGTACATAAGATATATTAGAATAAGGAAGAAAAAAGGTATAAGTAAGAAATTCTTGACTGATGAGAAACTGTTGAAAAGGAAAAAATGTTAAAGCTTTCTTTTTGTTTTTAAAAAAACGTTTAATAAAAAAAATTAAAAAAAGAAAATACGCCAAATTAGTGTCAGAACTGTCAGGATTCCAAATAACAGATCCAACACAATCAAGACTCTGAGGCCTAGGTGTTCTTCAAAGTACAAATTTATTAGGCATGTCATTGGCACATCTGGTGAAAACCCCACTCTGAAAGTCCCACGGCTTTCCCCACCCATATTAAAAGACAAAGTTCTTTCTCCCAGCCCACATGTCCGTCATGTGGTCCAATCCGGTCACTGTCCACACTCCAGTCGGGGACTCCATCCATCCCTCCCCGGCACCTGGTGAGAACGTCCTTGGTTCCCAGGAGAAAGAATTTTACTTTGGCTACAGGTCCCCAGTTATCTCTCTCTCCTCACTCCCGTTCCCACAGCTCTAGCCAATCCTGCAGTGGCAGCCCTGAAGACGCTCCAAAATGGCTTCAGGATTGACAAGAACAGCTTGAAGCTTTTCAATTCTCTGAATTGCTCTTCCCCCTTACATGCCTATCCAAAATAATAAGACTTTCATTTGCATTCCCTAAATACCAAGTGACAGGTGATAAAAAGAATAATCTAATGTACATGTCTAAAATTCAGGTTTAGAAGTTTCTGTCAGTTTTCTTCTATTAAGTAATTCCCCAGTAAAATTGATATGACATGGCTAATGTTGAGTGTCAAGCCAACTCGACACTGAAGTGGGGAGGGGATATCCGGCAGGACCATCAGTGATGGGGCAGCTCTACTGCACAACAACGTTTCTGCTACGTCGTGATGACGGGGGGGAGAGCGCTGATTACAGTCTCACACAATGGTGGTGGGGGGTGTTGAATCCAAAGAATAGGCGGTCGGTCACCCCACCACCGGGACAGGACTACGTGAGGCGAGGGAGAGCAGTCCCCAGCCACTGCAAAACAGGGGTGGGGGCAGAGCCCGGAAGTACTGCCAATTGGCTAGAGATGCTCCCGGTTTAATTTGATTATTGTTAAAAGGGCGCTGGGAGGCAGCCACTCCCAACGCCGACTTTATGTTCTTTGCAACGTTCATGTATGACTCCACCGGGATATGAGGATTAAACCTGTTAACAACCTCATGGTTTGTTTGCGAGTCGTGTTTACATCAGGTCGAGCCAGCTCGGTGAGCAGAATACGACAGTTAACAAATAAGTAATGTTTCCCCAAGTGAGAGGATATGGCCACACAGCTTAGTAAATATTGTATCATATTGTACTTAGAATATTTTTCATCAGTTTAGCTGAATTTAGGAAATTTCACAGTCCTTATTATTATTCCATAAATATTATTCCACTGCACCCATTCATCTCCAGTTCTCATAATATAGAGTGGACAATCTGATTATTTTGAAGGCAACCCCTATAAGCCCCAATCAGCATGAACTACCTCCAAAAGGTCACATCAAGTACAGTACCTAAAACTGGGATTAAATCCTCTAGGGTTCAGATAAAAGAAAAGCTACGAGAAGACAACTGAATTTATTGTCCCCTTCATTACAAAAAACTAGAAATGTGGTTGTTCTAAACACTGTCACATTTCTCCCAGTGCTTTTTCTTCAGGAAAGAGCCAATCGTCAAAGTCATAGCTATAAAGAGGTTTGTACAGAAACTTAAGTGAAATGGAGAAGGTAATGTAAGAAGCCTGCACTACTCTTAAATGATACAATGTGAGTGGGACAGTCACTATGTAATTATTCTGAAATAAACACCACTTCAAGATAAAAGCACTCTTTTGAAAGGCGCAGCAAATTAAGCAGTTCTGAATCTTAGACCCTTTTCCTTCAGAAACTGTTCATCAGACTTTCTGAAGCAAGTATGACTTGGGCTTTTGGGGGAGAAAGAGATCTCTTTTTTTAACCTGATAAAAATAAAAAGGATTTGGGTTTATGAAGTATTTCTTTCCACGTTTCCACAAAAGTAAGCAACTAATTCAACCACAAAACCCACAAAACATATAAAATTGGGCAGTTTTTCATCATAATTAGGATTCTGTTCTTCTCATTATTCATATGTATACTAAGAAAAAAGCTTCATATCTTTTTAAGCAAGGCTAGGCTAGTCATAAATATAGTAATTATTTCTACTTCAG